GTGTTGCTAGAGATTCCTACAATACTTGTGTTGCTAGAGATTCCTACAATACTTGTGTTGCTAGAGATTCCTACAATACTTGTGTTGCTAGAGATTCCTACAATACTTGTGTTGCTAGAGATTCCTATAATACTTGTGTTGGTAGAGATTCCTACAATACTTGTGTTGCTGAAGATTCCTATAATACTTTAGCTGCTGCTGGAAAGTTGACTAGTGTCGTGCGTTGTGTGGAAACAGCTGCTGACTTGAAGCCTATTGGCAGAAAGCGGCGCCCCCCCACAGAAGCTGCTCGCGCATCCGACGCAGATACGTCCAGCGCAAAAGCAGCAGCGGGAGCTGCCGCTGCGCTAAAGGATCTCAGAGGCCTCGCAGTAAGTTTTCGCTGGTGTTGGGATGTGCAGCATGGAGAACCTCGTGCAGTGGATGTCGCGCTCCAGGGGCCCTTCCGACCTAATAACACGCAGCCTCTCGATACGAAAAGTTAATTGGCGTCTGCCGCCTGTGGCTTGGCACCCACGCACTGCATGCGCAAAGTCGCAGCTGAGGGAGAGCCAGTGTGTGTGTCTACACTAAGGCCCAGTTAGTCTCAGCATTCCCGCTTCATGCTGCAGAGCAACCTTAAGCCCTTTTTTTCTGAGAAGCTGGCCGTGCCGTTTGAACGGGGGCGCAGATCAGGCATTCCTCCCCCTTTAGGTTGCAGCGCGCGGAAGATCTGCAGCTGCTGGTGCCTCTTGCGAAGGAACCAGAGTGTAGGACGGCAACAGTGGCGACATAAGGCGTAGAAAAAGTGCGCATTGTTACACTAGAGGAGGCAGCACATAGGCAGCGTGGAAGCACACGAGGAAGAAGGGGGAGGCTCCCCTCCACCAGCCGGTGCAGAAAGGGGGCCCTTGCTGGGGAAAGAGGAGGGGGCCCCATTCGTCAGGAAGCTACCGGCTGCTGCTGCATGATGCGGCAAAGGCGCAAGATCGCCAACGCAGCGCTGTCAATTACTGCTTCAATTGCAGCCATCGATTTTGTCGTGTGCGCTGAGATGAAGAGCGGCCTGCTGCCGCTGCTCCTTAAGCGTGTCGGCAGCAATACCTGTGAGATACTGTTTGCGCATCCTGCGGGAGTTACGCTGGCAATTTTAATAGGCGCGTGTCACTTCAGACCTTTTTTCACAATTGCTACAACTCTGAAAAAGGCTCTTGCTGCCTCGACAACTGCCGATGGTTGTGGCGCTTCCGGTACCGCGGCGCTGCTCTGCGAACTGCGCTGTACGTACAGCGGGGGCGTACACAGCAGCACGTGCAGAAACGCCAATTTCGTAGAATATATGAAGCATGGGCGACCACGAGCGACGCTGCAACAGAAGCAGCTGCCGGCAAACTTGCACGACCAGCACGTTTCTCGCTGCATCCGAACGTGTTCGACTCCCTAGCCAGCCGCCATGCACCATGCAGCAGCAGCAGCAAGATGGTCAACGGTTGCTGCTCATGGAGAACCAAACTGAGCATTATCAACGACAACAGGAGCACGTCCTTCAGGCCCTAAATCTATTGCAGCCACACCCCAGGCAGCATTTCCAGCAACAGCAGCAAGTGTTGCTCCCGCAGCTGCAGGAGCAGCAGCAGCCGCCGCTTGAACGGCTGTATCCTGCTGAACAGATGCCGCCTCACCAGAGCACAGAGGGCTGCCATCCCCTCCATGACAGTCCGCAGCAGGAGAGCAGCAGTCTCGCTCATCACCAGGCACACGCTGCCTCTGCGTATGGAGCAGCGCCGCTACGTCGAGGGCAGAGCATTCAGCCTCTTGAGACTGCACCCCTCTCATGGGCTGCTGCAACTGAAGCAGCAGCAGCTGCAGCATACCGCCAGTCGCTTTCTCGTCAGTGCGACCTCAACTTCGCAGCAGCTGCTACGCCTCAAGCTGCTGAGCCTTCTTCTCGCTCGTCTGCAGAGGAGTGGGGGCATACGCGACAGCAGCGAAGCAGCAAGCTCAATAAACTCCCCCGCAATAGCGCCTCTTCAGAGTCCGCTCTTTTTTGTGCAAGAGGCCGTTTCGCTTCTTCAGCGGCTCATGGGCGAGTGGGGGCTTTTCCTGTTGCTGCCTCTTCCGCCGCTGCTGCACATACTGCTGCCGCGATTTCAATTAAGCCTCGAACTGCCGCAGAAGCGCTAGCTGCCGACTCCTCCGGAGAGGGCGCACCAGCTACAAGACTTCAGCAGCAGCAGCAGCAGCAGGCAGGACTGCATTTAGCAGCAACGCGCCAAACGGGAGATTGGTGGCTGACGAACTGGCAGCAGTCTGCGGCAGGTGCCTTGACATTTCCCCCCTCAGCAGCGGCGCATGCTGCAGGGGGGGGGCATGCTGCAGAGCAGCAGCAGCAGCAGCAGCAGCAGCAGCAGCAGCAGCAGCAGCACCCCTTTGTTCGAGCGTTTGCGCAGACTTGTCCACCAGGGAGTTCTCAGCAGCGTGCTTGGCACAAGTCACTGATTTTCGACGCAGCTGAGGAGTTGCTGCTGCAGGACGCCTTTGCATGCGGCGCCGTGGCTACACTGGTAAAGTTGCATCTCGCTAACAGTAGTGTTGTTCGTGCCAAGTGCATTTATAGAGAGAGAGCTGCCGCAATAGGGAAGTTTCTGACTGCGTGTGGAAGCGGCCTGCCTCGCTCTGCTTCAGGCTAGGAGTGAGGATACTCCCGCGATTCGTCTTGGAGTTTCTGACTGGAGCGCTGCTGCGGCTGCACAACTGCCTCCTCTACGGATCGCCACACCCCATGCTGCTGCCTTCGCGAAGGCTTTGTGGAAGGAGTTGGAGCAGCTGCACTCCCGTATAGATGGTGTAAGTGAGCACCCTTTCCTTTAAGTTCCTTGCAGTCTCTCTCCGGCTGTAAGTGTGAGTGCGTTGCATTGTGTGCATGCATGCATGCATGCATGCATTGATGCATTTCCATTGTTGGCATTGTGGCATCGTCTCATGCCTTTCTTTTTGCCGCTCAGCTCCGAAACAGCACTTTCGACTTGAACTCGCCTTCAAGTAGAACGAATGAGGCATGCGATTCGGCAAGTCCATCAGCGGTCGCACCTTCCTGCTGCAGTTGCAACGGGGAGGCGCCTCTTGCAGCTTCCTGGACAGACACCAGGAGTCTTGGCAGGTGCAGCAGCAGCAGCAGCTCGTGCTGCTGCAGCTGTTGCAGTTGCAGCAGTTGCTTGACACCCCGTGAAGGAGGCGCTGAGTTTCTCACGCCTGCGGCAGTTGCTGCTGCTGCGACTGCCAGTGGACTGCCTGTTGCAGTTGCTTGGATGCTGCTGCAATCTACACCTTTAGCGAGCTTCTACAGTATGTTCTGCTGCTGTTGCTGCGTTTGCTTATGCTGTTTGCGCTGGTGTCATCACGGAGAATTCGTTATGAATTCACGGTGTTGGCAGTGCGAAAACTCGACGTTGCCGCGAAAGGAGCAATCGCACTCGCCCGATGCCTACTGCAGGAGATGCAGGCGTCGCTGCTGCGCTCTTAAACTGCGGATGGCATTTGTGTAGGGGAGGTCGACAGTTTTATTATTGATGTGCTTTCATCAAGACAGGAAGACGATCAGGCCTGGATAATAACGGCTGCTGCCGTTATTCGAGTGCGTTGCTGCTGCAGTTCTTTTGCTGCTTTGAGTGTCGCGCCTGCTGTATGGGAGGCTGGTGTGGGGCCTCTACTGGCGTGGAGGCAGCGCGCCGCTGTTGGGAGGCTTGAGTAGAATTTCTTTTCACGTCTTTGCTGCTGCTGCGCAGGAGGGGCAAAGGCGGAAGCGGCGACTTCCAGTTGGCGTGGCGTCGCGGGGACGCTCAGCAGTGCGGAGACGAACGCCAGTTACGAGTCGAGACTGGGAAGCTCAAGAAGACGGATGCCAGGTAGATGCGTCGCTCAAGCAGCCCTCGCTGCAGCAGCGGCAGGATTCTTGCTTGTTGCCGCAGTCGGCTTTGGACTTCGTTGCGGGTGCTAGCGATACACAGACTGCGTCTTTGACTGTGGCACCAGTGGCCGTTAAGACGCCTATGGGCGTGCTGCTTCTAGAGCGGCAGATAGTGTTGGCGCTAGAGGACTTAGTAATGCGCAAAACTGGGAGCAGCCCTTACTCCTCTGCAGCAGGCAGAGCGCTGCTGATGCAGCTCATGAGACAGCACGCAGACAACTGCAACAGCGTGCAAGAGGAGCAACAGCGAGAAGCTCTTAGGGAGAGCGAGGCAGAGGCAGCAGCCGCAGGCCAGACACAAACGAGCAGTGCGAGGCAACAGTCCCCGACTGCCGTGCTTTCTGCTTCTGATGCTCTTCCGAGCCGCGAGGCTGCCGATGGCGGCCTAGTCGCTTCGACTGCAGAGGGGGCAAAGGAGGCGCAGCAGCAGGCGCTGGTCACATTGCCGAATGCAGCGTCTCTTCGTTCGGCAGAAGCTGCTGCTGCTGCTTCTAGCGTGCTAGCAGAATAAATCAACACAACCTGCAACCCTGGCAGGAGCCGCAGGCGAACCTGCTGACTAGGCACGTAACCCCCCTGACAAGCTCTCTGCCTCAGCTGAGGCGTCCAGAAACAGCGAGTCACGCTGTTTACTGGCTGGTGATGCTGCAGTCAGAGGCACCCATGGGTTAAGCGCAACGCGAGGAGGGAGACATGAGGGAAACGCCAGCACCCTCGTGTGCTTCTGTGTTTCTTGAAGGGAACTTTGCTCGTTTCCCTGAGGCGGCCACGTGCCTAGGCACTCACGGTGTACGGTCTAGAGGTGTAGGGTTTTGTGGTAATATTTTGCTGCCCAGACTGAGGGCGAGGGGGTTTCGGAGAGGTCGTTTTCGACATTGGGGAGTTTCAGCCATTCATACGGGGGGCATTGTAGATTCACGTTATTGTGTCAAAGCGGCCTGGGTTGGGGGCTTCCGGTTCGCGAACAAATGTTTAGGCAATTAATTTAAGACATAAAATCGATTTTTAACGCATAATTGTTCATGGGTAGGGGTAAGGGGGGGCGGGGAATTTCCCGTCATGAGCGGATGTGTATGGTGATCCAGACACCTGAAGGCAGTGTTGGGGTAGGTGGTAGGGGTGTACCTGGTGGGATACAGCGTTTGTGGAGGTGATTCAATGAGCAGTGCTTGAGATTTAGGGTTAAAAAGCGTTGCTTGTATGCGTTGTAGTGCAAATACATGATTGGACGCTGCAAGCAGAAGCATTCGCGGGTGACACACCACGAGCAGGACCGCAGCCGACAGCAGCCGTGGCTGTGGCAACGGTGTCTGCGAAGGCATCCCTAAACGCCATAAAGCAGAGTTGCTTTTAGGGGCTTGTGTGCGCTGTCTCGCCGCGCAGGTGGTTTCTGCGGAGAGGGGTTGTTGCTTGCTTTGATGAAGGATCAAAGCCGCGGCAAGGACGATGGCTGTGGCTGTTGCACTGTGGAGTCTATGAGCGTTCTTCCTTCGCCTTTTAGAAAGTTGTATTCCTCGGAGGAGCCTTTTCTCTGGGGGCTCCGAGCAAAGGGGCCCCCAGGGCAGTCGCACTGCAGTGTGTCTGTACGCCTTGTGGAGGCGTCCGTTTTTGAGGCCTTTGCTCGAGATCAGGGGTGCACTGGATAGGTCGAAAAGCCTCTGAATCCTTCATGAACGCGCCGCTAAAGCGCTATAGGAGCTGCTAATTGCCTGCCGGCTCAAACAAACGGCCGCGTGAGGCCGTTTTGCAGCGCACCAGAACAGCAGCGCCTCGCCGTGCAGCAGGAAAAATGCAGAACCCCAAGGCATCTGCCGAGAGGAAGTCTTCCGAAGGCAACAAAATTCCGCGGAATGTCTCCCCGAAAGCCGGCAGCTTTGAAGGGCCTCGTGCATTAGGCTCCGCAGGGAGGACGAGTCTCTCTGGAGGGCGTTCTTCAGCGCATCCTGCCCCTCTCCAGCCTTCGCCAAATGTTTCCCAGCAGCAAGGCTCGAGGCTAGGCAGTGGCGGTCTGTCCGCTCGATCCGCAGACAGCAGCAGCATGCAGCGTGGCGCATCTGCAGAAGCGCCTGTGTCGAGGACGCTTTTGAGAGGATCTTCCAGAGCGATGGATTCAGAAACGCGATTGAACTCCCCAGACGCAGCGAAGCGCTCCACGAAGACGCCTCCCCCTCCAAACAGTCCCTCCAGCGCTCTTCGCCGAACAGAATCGCTCATGAAGAAAGGCTTTTCAGGGAGCCTAGGCGCCTCAAGCGTCCCCAAGCACGCGGCTGTGGAGGGCATGAGAAGCGCGAATCTTAGAAGTGAAAGTCGTAGAAGTGAAAGTCTCAGAAGCGCAAGCGTTTCTGCTCCAGAGGAACCTTTGCTCCCCTCTGGCGTTGGGAAGGCCCCACCTCAGACGCAAGTGTTACAGCTTGTTGCTATGGCGTCGACAGAATTAGCGTCTGCAGCAGGGAGACTCACTGCTGCTGACGCTAATTCCGCGGAGGCGAGCACAAGCCTTCCAGATATCGCCCTCGTCCCCCCTCCAGGAGTGTCGGCTGAGGGGACTGAAAAGACTCCCCTCGAAAATGCAGCGATGGCAGCACAGCGACCTCTTCCGCACCCCCCCGATCAGCAGGGGAACGCACTGCTCCCCGTGAACACTTCGTCGCACAAGAGCGTCTCCTATAGCACATTAACTGTGAGGAAGAGAGAGAGATGCAGAGAGGAAAACAGGCAGACAGAGAAAGAGAGAGAGAAACAGACAGACAGAGAAAGAGAGAGAGAGAAACAAACAGACAGAGAAATAGAGAGAGAACCCGCCTTACCCCTCCCTCCGCCTCCCCTCCATAGTGCACTTGCATGCCTCCACACACTTGCATGCCTCCACACACTTGCATGCACTTGTATACACACACTTGCATGAATCCAATCAATACTCCATCCATCGTTCCCCCTCCTCTTGGTGCTTTCCCACGCGCGCCGTTCAGCATCTTGTGCGATATTTAGTCGATCTAATGTTTGATGCCCTTCCTACCCACCAGCACTCTCTACAATGCCTATCGGTGCCTTTTTCCCGTCATCCCCAGCCTCTGTTTCCCTCTCCCCCTTCCCTCCAGACAGCGTTTCTTCTGCTCGTGTGCAGCTATTCAGTGGCCACTTTGTCGCACGCTACCCCTCCCCTGCGCTGCTTCGATGCTGCCTCCAGCTTTACGTAGGAGCAATTCGCCACTTGGAAGTAACTCCGCATCCTAGCAGCGGTTGTCTTGCGCCTCCAGAGGCCCTCTCGGGTGTAACTGAATGTCGAGGAGCCTTTGGAGCTTCCGGCAGTCTTACGGTGTGCTGCATTCTGTGGACGCCCCTTGAAGATCCCTTTGAAGTTTTCTCCATTTCCCAAGGCACATACTGGCTTCCAGGATGGGGACGGAGGGTTACTGCGGCAGGTAAGATGCGCAGTTGCATGGCAGCAGCCTCTTTTTCCCAGTTGCCCCTGTCACCCTCTCACCCTCATCTACAATTTATGTCGATCAATAAAGCCTCAGTATCAACATGCACCTTCGTTCTGTTCCGTGCACTCCGCTAAAGAGGCGGCGGCTGGATTTGTGTTGGCGCCCCGTGGCACTGCTGCTGCCCTTCTACGCAATCAATGATTCTGCGTGGTGCATATCTGTACGTGTATATGTATCTGTATGTGTGTATCTATGTGCGGTTTACGTGCATCTATAGGTGTATATACATACATATATACATATGTGTGTGTGTGTGTATCTATCTATCTATGTGTATAAGTGTACCTCTGTCTATCTACATATAGATGTGCGTTGTATTGGTGTCACACGTCTGTGTGTGTGTATGTTGTGGATCTCTCTCTGTACTCGTTGTGCTGTGTATCTGTTTATGTATACGTAGGTATGCATATGTATGTATGCACACATATCTATGTGGATGTATATATGTGTGTATCTATGTATGTAAGTGTATATTATTGTATGGGTGTCCTATATCTGTGTATGTGTATGTTGTGGAATTTTTTCTGTATTCGCTGTGTTGTGTATCTGTGTATGTATACGTGGGTATGCATACATACATATATATGTATCTCTATGTGTATGTATCTCTGTCCATGTATGTGTGTGTATATTGTTGTATGGGTGTCCTATATCTATGTATGTGTATGTTGTGGAATTTTTTCTCTATTCGCTGTGTTGTGGATCTCTCTCTGTACTCGTTGTGTTGTGTATCTGTGTATGTATACGTAGGTATGCATATGTATGTATGCACACATATCTATGTGGATGTATATATGTGTGTATCTATGTATGTAAGTGTATATTATTGTATGGGTGTCATATATCTGTGTATGTGTATGTTGTGGAATTTTTTCTGTATTCGCTGTGTTGTGGTTTTTCTGTACAAGTCTCGACGCGTCCCTGCCGCAAGCAGAACGCCCTTGGTCAGGATGATGCAGAAGTGCAGCAAGACTTGGAAATAGCTGTTTCTTCTTCACTTTCGAATTCTCTGAAAACAGAGAAGGCGGAGACAGGAGCATCCTCCTCAGTGGTAGCGGCCTCTGCGGAATTTGATGGGGGAACACCCATCGCCTTCCTATCGGTGTTGCACATCCATCAGAGACTAGCGCACGATCTGAGCATAGAAACACACCCCTTTAGAGGAGCCGATCCATGGACTAGTCCCCACAATGTTATGAGCAACAAAGCCACTCCATATGTCCCCAAAAAGCCTTGCATCTCCATCCTAGGAACCGCCATACTCCCCCTCGCTCATCTTCTTGCCACCAGTAGGAAGTCTGTGCAACGTGTAGACTGCATGCGTAAAGAGCGGGAAGGTCTTCTCTCCGTCACGGTAGGGATGGATGGAAAAATCAAATTGATGACGCAGTTAAAACTTTTTAAACATGAGGTACGTTCCGCTCCGAGAAGGATGACATGCACTGACATGCACTGGCTTGCATGGAAAAGTCTGTCCTATCTCCTGTATTGTTCTATACTTTCTGTGTAGTGTCTAACGTTCTTTGTGTAGTGTCTAACGTTCTTTGTGTAGTGTCTAACGTTCTTTGTGTAGTGTCTAATTTTCTTTGTGTAATGTGCAAAGACTATTTCCTGTTTCTACTACTGGCTTCCGCCTTCTCTCTCGTGTGAAGCTCCCCTGTGCGTGTGTGCCTCTGTCGTTTCTTGGTGTTTTTCCTCCCCGTGAACGCCTTCCTTCATGACGTCTCTCGCCTCTCTTGTCTCGCCGTCTGCCCCCAGTGTCTGTTTGGGCTGCAACTGTGTTTGGAGTCTTCTCGTTCTCGCGACAACAAAGAGAAGCCTCTTGTCTCTCCCTTTTCCTTACCAGTGCGCTCTCTATTTCTGCTTTCGCAGGCTCTCTGGCGTGCTGTTTGCCGCTATCGCCATCACTACCAGCACGAGAGGAGGCCTCATCTCTTGCGTCTCCTCTCAAAGGCCTCTCTTTCCCCTGCCGGCATCGTTGAGGTTTCCGTCTCAGCCTTTCGGCAGCGCTGTATTAACTGGCAAGCGCTTCTGGGAAAGTCTTTTTCCGGCTCTTCAAAGCTCAAGAAGAAGGCCCTCCTCTCCGCGAACACCCTTGCAGCAGCTTCCGCTCACGACGACTCGCAACACGACACCGCGACAGCGAAAGCTGCTGAACATGCGGGCAGCATGATCTTCTCGAAGAAAGAGGGAGGAGCACCTTCAGACGGGAAGGATATTATTCCTCTTGCCGAGATCCTAAAGGACGAGGAGTCCAACGAAGAAGAAGAAAACGAGCAGCAACAGTCTCTTGCCACTGGTGCTCGGCGTCCTATCATTGACGTCGTAAGGCGAGTATGCCTTATCGTAAAACGAGTTTTTTCACTGCCTCTCCAAGGGCCAGCGAGAGCTCTCCTCAGCACCGCTTCTCTCTCGATTGTAGCGCTGTGGGAACCTGAGAGCCGCAACAAAATATTCTTCAGCAGAGCAACACGCAGAGTTGTCGCCGAATTCAAATGCGAACTGGAACCGCAACCCTTCGATACTTTCGCGCATGCAATCCGCGTCGAAGAAGAACTCTTCGGACAAATCCATTTCAACACCAAGGTGTGCTGCTCTCTCCCATACTCCTCCTGTCTCTACACACACACACCTATACATATATACATACTTTACATACATACTTTACATACTTTACATGCATGCTCTACACACATAAATTACATACATGCTTTACACACATAATTTACATGCATACTTCACATACATAATTTACATGCATACTTCACATATATACATACAACACGCTGGAAGCAGCAGAGGCCCCCTGTCACGCTTTCTCAGAACTTTACTAGGGGTGGCCGTCTTCTTTAGGCGACCTTCTTCCTGAATGCGTGATAAAAAATGGGGGAGGGAGGCGTTTTCTCTCTCTCTCTCTCTGTTGTTCTCTCTGTCTCTGTGTCTGTCTCTGTCTGTGTCTCTGTGTCTCTCTCTGTGTCTGTCTCTCTCTGTGTCTCTGTCTCTCTCTGTGTCTCTGTCTCTCTCTCTCTCTCTCCTGCAGGACTGGTGCAGAATACGCATGTGTTTTTTTTGCAGGTGGTATTGCCAGTGCTTCCAGGAATCGACCCTGTGCTTTGCCTCTTCATTTGCGTAGACGGAACACCCTACGCTAAGCTGCAGGAACCAATCGATTTGCTGCATTTCGCTTCCAAACGGGTTGGTAAAGATCCAGTCCAGCTCAAAGGACTCAATCTGCCCCTCACCAGCGCAGAGCCTTCCAAGAGTAAGACGCAGTCTGTCGAATCCGCAGCGCAGCTGCAGGCATGCACACACATACACACACACACATACACATACACACATACACATACACGCATACACATACACACATACACATACCCATATGCATACATATACACACACGCAAATATACACACAAATATACATACACATACACACAGAGAGACAGAGCAAAAGGAGGATAGGAGACAGCTGAAGAGCAAGGACAGACAGTGTCTAGGGCGTCGCGTCTGGAAGAAAAGATGCACGAAGCCACCCCGTCCCTTTGAAAAACTTTCATCAAATAAAATAGCTTTCAAATACAATAGCTGAATGTGGTCTTTCTTGCACTGGTGATAGGTCTAATATGGATGGGTAGTGTTTAAACCCCCGTCCGTCCTCCCTCTTTTTTCTTGCGGCCTCCCCTCCGCCTTTTAAATGTCTTCCTCGTTCTTGTGAACGCATGCATCGATTGGAATTAGACAGCGCTTTAGCGCCGCTTTCTGCTGGGTGCTGTCTGTCTGTCTGTCTGTCTGCGTGTCGTCAGGCCTGGTAAGTGGACTCTTTCGAGATCGCTTGGCGGGAAAATTCGGTATCTTGGAGCTGTCTTTGAAGCTTGAGCCCTCTGATGGCGTATTTCTTAGTAGCGAGGATTTCAACCGACTCAACCTAAAACCAACGCAAAGGGGCCTTCGAGATATGACTGCCCGTATATGCACTTTGATGCGTGAGCAGAGAAGGGCGACTTCCCTGACTGTCGAATTGTTTGTTTTCTCTGGGGGGAAGGGGAGAAGGGGGGAGGGAAAGGTTATTGGGAGAAGGAAATTGCTGTTTTCTATGATTATGGAGAGAATGAAATTGCTGTTTTCTATAATTATGGGGAGAATGAAACTGCTGTTTTCTATGATTATGGGGAGAAGTAGATTTCTTTAGTCTATGATTGTTTTTTGTGCTTGCATTTTACGTGAAAAGGAAGCCGTGTTTTTTACGTATAGCGCATGCCTGTGATATAGGACGCGTACAGTTTGAACAGAACATATGGCCTAGAAAATACGTGCTGGGTGTTATAAGCGTGGGAAGAGGATGCCAGTTGTCGAAAATTGCCGGAGGATGGCGAAGAGGACTGCAGCGTGTGCATGGCTTTCCGAATCAGCTTGAGTTGTGGTGTGAATGGGGAAAGGCTATTGGCTTTTCAAATATTTGTCGCGTATGAGGCCTTGTTTTAGCGGGGGATCGTGCGTTGTTTCGCAGCGAATTATTACGGCGCTCCTGTAGTTGGGCGTTTTGGGGAGTGGACGGCGTTTTTAGGCGACGTGGAGTCTTCGATTGAGTCGGAAAGCAGCGAGGATGACGAAGGAGGGGACGACGCTGCTGAGGAAGGGGAGGGAGGAGAGGGAGGCAAGGGAGGTCGTGATGAGGCTTCTTCTGTGGCAGTGCAAAAAAGGGGAGCCTCTCGAATCCCCTGTTTTTTTTCGCCTGCAGTGGCTGCGGAGTCAAGAGTCGTTCCGAAGCCGTCTGCTCCGAAGAAGTTTTCGGAGTTTCTTGCGGAAATCGAGGAGGAGGATCGGCAGAAGGCGGCGAGGGTGCAGGCAGCCAAGTTGCGTCGGGAGCAGGAGCAGGAGCAGCAGCGGGGGGGCAGGGGAGCAGGCAGAAGTCATCACGACTCTCCGAGAGGGGAAGGACCAATCGTCGCGGAGATGTGTGTGGCGGAGGGGGCTGGGTTGGTTTCTGGAGTTGCTGGGGAGTGGTGTTTTTTTACGCTGAAAGCCAAGAATCGGCGAGGCGCGACGGTGCGCAGATCGGAGGGGACGCTGCGTGTTTCTCTGGAGCCTCAGGGGTTTGTAGCCGTGCAAGTTGCCGGCAATTCTTCCGAGGATCTGGCCTTAGAAGCGGCTCTTTTCAACAAGCGCCTCAGCCTTGGAGCCGTCGGGTGTCGAGCCTCAAGCCTGGGTGTGACTCCTCAGTTGCAGTGGGAAGTCGTCGAACTCGTTGCAGGAGGACTGCAAGTGAGCTACAAACACGACGTGCCGGGTTGCTACAAGCTGCATGTCACGTATGACGGCCTACCCATCGCAGGATCGCCTTTTGAGATTCTTCTGACATCGGGAAAGCCGTGTGCTCTCGCCAGCCGCATCATCGGGAAGGGTGCGCGCGTGTGTTACGCCTCGCCTTCTGCGCTGGACGTGGATGTCACCGCTGGCGCGAAGCCTCGCAGCACGTCTTCCTCGCCGCTTCCTTCCAAGTCTTCGGCACAGGAAAAGGAAGCCTCTTCTGAAACACAGCAGGATCCTTATGACGATGACAACTGGCCGCCAGATGCGCGGCTCCTAGCCTCATCGTCGTCGCCTTCGGGAGCTGCTGCTGAGAAAGACGCGAAAGACGTCATGCCCAAGAACAAACGGCAACACTTCAAACATTTCATCAACCGGTTCAAGGTCGTCGTCTGCGACACAAACGGTGAGAAGAGAGTGGCGGAAGTGGAAGATGAGGAGAGGGGTACAGAGGGAGAGGGAAAGGGAAGGGGGTTGCGGGGAGAAAACCATACGATATGCATAGTGAATAAAGGCCATCACCGCATGTCAACTGACACTGAGGGCAGGGTAGGAGAGTATACACGGCATTTCTTGCAGCTTCGATGAGGCGCATGCTCCCTTTGCATGTGCAGACTGCATGACGTGAGTATACATGTGAGGAGAGAAGACAAATGTGTGTGTGTATGTATGTATGTATATATGTACATGTATGTATGTATATGTATGTATGTGTATATGTATGAATGTATGTATATGTATGAATGTATGTGTATGAATGTATGTATATGCATGTGTATGTGTATGAATGTATGTATATGTATGTGTATGTGTGTGTTTACGTATATCTTTGCGTTAGCCTGCTGGAGGGGGGCGGTGCAGACAGAAGTCTGGCAGAAGGGAGGTGTGGTGAATTGCTGCTTTCCTGCTGGCTTGCGTGAATCTGCAGGCAATCGCGTTCCTACTGGAGGGCATTGTTTGACTGTGCGCGCCTCACGAGGAGCACGTGTCTTGCGCGTGAGAGATGAGCGGAATGGGGTGTATACGGTAGACTATGTAGTAAGAGCACCTAGGGGGCTAATCATGGGAACGGCTACTGAGCATTTGCGTCTTGCGGATACGGTAGCGAGTCTTCTCACGTTTCAGCAGCAGCACGCGAGCGACGCGCTTGTTTATGAATGCAATGTAAGTTTTTTTTTAAATCCCGAATTAGGAGGGGAGTGCAGGAAGGAGGGATGGGGGGAGAGTGGGAGCAAAGGGGGTAAAATAGCTCGTCTGCCTGCAAACCGCTTCTGCCGCTGACACAGCCGGCTCTGGCGAATTTTTATTAAGTCTGGTTACGCATTTTTATGTCAGAGGCCTGGAAGGGGGAGAAAAAACGGGGGAGAAGGAGGGGGAAATAAAAGAGGGAGAGAGGGAATAAAAGAGGGAGAGAGGGAATAAAAGAGGGAGAGAAAGAGGGAGAGAAACAAGAGGGGAATAAATGGGAAAAAATGAGGGACGAAATAGCAGGAAGGGAAGGAGGCAGCGAAAAGGGGAGTCTGCGTGAAGGCTGGAGGGGATTGAGCAGCTTCACTTTGCACATTGTGCTGTATGAACGCTCTTGCCGCAGAAACTGCAAAAGGAAGGCTGCTTGCCCTTTACCAGCTGCCGTCTCGAGGTTCTGCTCTTTGAAAAGCCTTTGATTGCTTCGCCCTTACAACCCCTCGTTGCCAACCTTGAGCAGATACAACGCATGTACAAGCAGGCACAGAGCGCTACACAACTGGGTATGTCACTAATCCACAGCCTACACAGCCTGACTATGAATCTAATTATATGCACAGCTCGAGCATAAATTTATATTTATGCACAGCTTGAGTATACATTCATATTTGTGCACAGCTCGAGTATAAATTTATATTTATGCACAGCTCGAATAGAAATTTATACGTATGCACAGCTCGAGTAGAAACTGATATTTATGCATAGCTCGAGTAGAAATATATATGTATGCATAGCTCGAGTTTAAAGTTATATTTATGCCCCTACGGCTGGCGTCTTACTGTCCTGTACATCTGGGGGGATGTTATTCCACGTGCAAAACAGCGTCCTCAGTGGACTTTTAGCAGCAAAATTATTCGGATTACGCTTGCTGCATGCATGTACTGCCACTGCTGCTCGTGTTGCTTCGGGGGGGGGGGGAATCATGAGGAGCAAGCATGGAGGAGGCAAGTAGTAGTAAGGAGACAAGTAGTAGTAAGGAGACAAGTGGTAGTAAGGAGGCAATTACATGAGAGATGAGTGAATGCTGCTGTATTGCTCGCGTTTGATGTGGTTATAGGGTAGAGGCAGCTCCAAGTAAGGGCATTGAGCGATCTTAGAAACAGAATGTGGGAGAATTTTCTGCACATTCGCCGTGTGCTGTAGGCGCTTCAATCGAACAATTCGAAGAGCACCTGAGGGGTGGCCGTCATGATGAAGCTGCGCGTATCTTGTCATGCGTTCATGATACCTTTACTTCCGCAGAGGTAAAGGTTAAGCATGCAGATTCTTTTTTCTTCAGGGCTCTCCCCCTTGACTCCCACTCCTCCTACACGATTCTCCCCCCACACGATTTTTGTATGCTTAGCGGTGCTTTGCTCTGCCGCTATTCTAGACATTCTTTTAATGAAGCTCGCAACGCGAAAAGCCTGTTTGGTGCGGCTAGAGGTCCTATGGCCTTTCCCATCCGTTTTTCTACATATATATATGTATATGTATGTATGGATGTGTATGTATGTATATGTATGTATGTATATATGTATGCATGTATGAATGTGTATGTACGTATGTGCATTTGTGTATGTATGTATGTATGTGCATGTGTGTGCGGGTGTATGTACAGCTCCGCCAGCAGGCGGAAACAGCTCTGGCCAACATCTCCTTGCGAGATGCCCTAGATGAAGGCTTGTCTTCTCAGCTGCAGTGGGTAAATGAGTGCGAGGAAGAGGGTGGTGACGACACTTCACTGCACCTTACGCCAAAGGAGAAGCAGAAGAAAGAGGAGAAGCGTCTCAAAGACCTTCAGACACAGTGGGAACAGATACAAGCAGTGCGGTGAGCAGACAGCAGGGCAGCTAGCTAGGCAGCGAGACACATAGCTAGACAGCAAGACAGCGAGACACACAGCTGGAGATCTACACAGACAAACGGTTTTGACTGACAGACATTGTTGACGGACAGCTGGACATACAGACAGCTTGACAAACCGATAGACAGCTACAGAGAAACTTGGCTGCCGACAAGTGTTCATACACCCCGTGAAGTGGCCTTTCATTTTTTGCCAGAGCCGCTTGCATCACTCCGCCAGAAGGCCTCTCGTGTGCAGCACAGCCACAACATGGGAAACCTAAAGTGTGTGTGCTCACTGTCTCTGTTGTCTTCAGGGAGTTGCTTCTCAAGCTTTCAAAAGACAACGAGAGGCAGAAGGAGATCATTCAAGCCTTCACTGAGACAATGCTGCAAGCACTTCAGCAAACACAGGCCCGCAACCTTCGTCTCCTTGCCGAAAGGAACGATATTAGGTGCGTTTAAGGCATACACAGATATGTATATGTATGTATATGTTTATACATATGAATATATATATGTATATATGCATATATACATATATACACATATATATACATATATATGCATATATACATATATATATTCATATGTATAAACATATACATACACATACATACACATATATATATACACCTACACACACGTAGAGGGCGCTATATCTTCACTTCGTCGATTACCAGCGTTTTTCCAAAAGCGGAAATCACGGCCTCTTTTTCATAAAAGGGCCTTAGTCCCACGAAGAGACAGACAGCTCCATTTTTTCGTCTTGGGGGCGGCTCATTTTCTCATGCTCCTCAGTTCCCACCCCCCCACCCCCGCGTTCCTTACCCTCTATACATACTTACAAATACATGCATGTATACATGCATTCAAATACATGCATGTATACATGCACTCAAATACATGCATGTATTCATACAAATACAAATACAAATACAAAAATACCAATCTTTTGCTTCCCCTGTCGACTCTCTCAGGCGTCTTCGTGACGAAAACCTCTTGCCTCTTGCCGATGTCTTGCAGCAACAGTATCTGCAGCTCTTCCGTTCCATGACCAAACAAATTATGACATATGTCACGTCCCTCAACGGCCGAGACTTCTTTAACCTTGAGGAGCTGATTCATACGTACAACAAAATTGCGTGAGTTACCTTTTCCACGACAGGGCATGATTGATTGCATCTCTCCAAGCCTAAAATTCGTCAAAAAGCGTGTCTCGTATTTCCCTCCACCAAGCGAAATACCAGAGACAGACAGAATCGTGATGCCATCCGTTTCCACTCCTCCCTCTTTCGAAAATTCACGAGAAGCTCGCGCTTACTCCGCTGGCTTGACAGCTTCATCGCCTGGCTATTATTGTTCAACACGTGTGCTTGCATACCCCCACAGACACATATGCATATACATCCACATACATATTTGTATATACATACACATACATGTATGCATACACATACATATATAAATACATATATGCATATACATACACATACATATACATATATATATATATGTATAGATTTTACCTACCTATACATGTATACATTTATATATATATATAACGTCAACATGTCGTGCCGCATGCTGTTTAGAATACCCTTTTGACTGTGAGGTTCGGTCTGTCCACGCGCATGTGTTATACGTCTGCAGGGATGAGCTGCGTTTGTTGCATCGGTACGGCTTAGCGGATACTTTTGACGAGCTGAGCCGCTGTATCTGCGAGGAGATCGAGCTGCAGCGGCTTGAACACATTTACCAAAAACGACAGGAACTGTGCAGCAAAGCCGAAGAGGTCATTGCCCAAAAAGAAGGCGAAATCAAAGACGTGCGAATTCAGCATGAGGCGAGATTTAGAAACGTCGAGCCACTAGACCCTCAAGAAGTTGAGGAGATTTGCGTGACGCGAGAGCAGAAAGGTATCGCATGCGTTCATGTATGTGTATGTGTTCATGTACATGTGTATGCATAATACATACATATGCATTCATATGCATATGCATACATATACATACAATATACACACAACATGCCTGTTCATACAATATGCATACATATACATACAGTATACATACATATGCATACGAAATACATACAATATGCATACATATGCATATACATATGCATATACATACAATATACATACATACACATACATATGCCTATACATACAATATGCACGCATATACATACGAAATACATACAATATGCATACATATGCATATACATACAATATACATACAATATACATACAATGTGCATACGTATACATACAATATACATACAATATGCATACATATGCATATACATACAATATACATACATATGCATATACATGAATGCCCTTTCACAGCTCCACCACAGTAGCAGGCATGATGGCGTTTTTGAGTGTCATCTTTCTCCGTTTCTTTGGGCCGTATACAGCACGGCGGCAGCCTCTTGCATGTACCTTTCCTGCATGTTGTAAAGATAGAACGCCTCCGTTTGGCCTTTCTCTCTTAGTCCTATATATATATATATATATATACATATGCGATATCAATAACCCGCTGGCGTGAGCCATTTCATGTGCTCTGCTGGCATGCCTTTTCTTCGCTTCCTTCTCCCCTCCATGTTATTGTTCACAGCATGCTGCTCTCTTTCAGCTTTCTCTTTGCACCTGCCACTCCCTGCTTGCGCCATTCAGGTGTACAGACAGAGGACGCTCTGTCTCTGCGAGAGGGGGCTCTAGGCCCTCTCATTGTTGCCCGTGCCACTGGGCAGCGCGCAAAGCAACCGGATGCCGTCTGTGCATTAGCGAAGGTATGCTTCTAAAAAACTCCAACTTGAAACAGCTGGCTTGGCTAGCCTGCAGACTGCGTTGCCGCGTGGCAGTCCGCCTAGTGGTGAAGGAAGTTGCGACTGCATTTCCTGCCCCCTGATGCCCCCATGCAACAACAAAAACAGCAGCAGCAGCAAGAGCAAGGCTGCCTTCCACGCAGAAATAGTCTTGCGCGAGAACTCCACTGCCTCCCTTTCCTCCACGGGAGAGGTGACCCTCACCTGCGCATGCTGCTGCTGCTGCACACGTGCAAAGACACTGCGCAAGCACCACGCTTCCGTCTGTATCCTCTGAACTTACTTCTGCAGCTGCATTGGCGCACATGCGATCCTTACGGCATGCACACCAGCATCCGAAAACTCCTCAAAAACACACCAAGGTCTTCAAGCCATAGAGCCTCACGCTTCCCCTCCCCGCTCCTTCCCGGGGAGGAATGCATGCAGCCTTTTTCAACCATTCATGCGCATTGCACCGTACTGTTCTTGCTGCCTCTCATTCTCAAAATGCGCAGCCTCTTCTTCGAAGGCCTGCGTGCTGCATGCCTCCCTCTTCCTCGATTCTCGCTGACATGTAGCTGCTCCTCAACACAGGGCGTTACACATATGCCGCATGCGCGTGATGACGGAAGACGCATTCTTCGTATTCGCATGTTGCTCTATATACATATACGTATGTATGTACATATATCTATATGTATATATATGTATATATATGTATATACATATATGTATGTATATCTATATCTATGCGTATATATATCTATATGTATATGTATCTCTATGTATAGATCTCTATTTACAGCAGCCGTGCCCGTGTCTGTCTCAGCTTCCAACCAGCTCCTTTGTTGCTTGCTGCCTTCGCAGGTTGAAGCACTGTTTGCAGGAGATATTTGCATACTACGCCAAAGCGCCAAGAGAGGCCTTGCAGCAGAGGTGGCAATCGCTCGAGGGTCTCCCCGTCGGACTGACACAGCCGACATTCCTGAGGTTTTGTTTAGATCTGAAGCTGCAGGAAAATCTCCTCAACGATCCGACGCAGGTATGCCCCTTGGTATACGCACTAAGGGCAAGGAAGGCCGAGAGGTGGAGCTAGGAGGTTGTTGAACAAAATATCTCTTGAAGGATTCGTGCATTCAGTATCTTCCGGTCGTACCACTTGAGACAGGATGTGTAGCAAGGTTTTGTGAGCGTTGCGTGTATGTACAGCGCGAATGTTCTTTTCGTAGCAAGCACGTTTCATGGGGTTTTCCTCTTGCATGCCAGGCCCCATGGCTGCTCGGAGCCTCTGCATGCGTCATCTAAAAGCGTGTTGCACTTTTTGCCGTATCGGCATGCGGGGTGTATGTGTATGTGTGTGTGTGATACGGACTTCGCGCGGGGTAACGACCCTCATAAACTTCTAGGAAAGTGCAGCTTTTTTTAAAGGGGCTTAGACAGATTTTTCGGCGTGCATGTGGCGTGCATGCGTCCCTCTGCAAGATTGTTATATACTGCTGTGCTGTGCTGCTGTGAATGCGCTTTTCAGCTGGCATGCTTCTTCGAGAAATTCAGTGTAGAGCCTGACGAGGGTCTTATTCGACCAGAAGGCTTCATGCGCGTGCTCCCCCTCTTCTTGTGGCTTCCCTGCGTGCGGGAGCTTGCGTATCTCAACCTCGTGCATGCGGTCAGCAACCCTTCTACTCAATGAGCGCCACTGCTGCTGCTGCTTTAGCCACGCTGCTGCTGCAGTTACTTCTGTCACATGCCGTTCTCGCTGCTCAGAGGGGGCTGCTTTCTGGTGGTTGTGCTGCTGTTGCGGGCTGCTCCCTGCTGTATGCGGGTAGTCTTGAATGTCTGGACTCCTTTCGCAGCGGTTTCTTGTCTGTCTCGCGCCGCGTTAAAATCTCTCCTTTCTGCACTGCATGTTCGCCTCCTGTGTGTACGTCTGTGTATGTGTGCCTGCTGCGCTTTGTAATGCTCTTTTCCCCTTCCTCCCTGGCTGCAGCTGAGTGCAGAGGCAGTCATTAGAGGCTCAGAGAGGAGCGCGTCAATCCTGAAATTCTCGCATCCTTCGCGATTGATTGCTTTCCACCACTTTTGCACCGTGCACTTGGTGCCACTGTACGAACACCTCTACAACACTCGAGACTTCGGAACATCGCTGAGCACGCTGATGCCCGACGGCGGCCCTTCAGAAGTCTCGAAAACATCGGAGAGAAGTCGAGACATTGTGGAGCTTCGTGCATACGGCTGCCAGCAACTGCCGGTAGACGTCTTTTCGCTGCTGCTCCTTGAGCCTCTGGAGCACCTCTTCGTCTTTTACAGCGAGCTGTCCATGAATCCAGGCCTCTCGAAATACAGGAGCAGAGACGTCTCCCCGCTAGCCCTCGACAGACGCAAGGCAGCAGCAGCAGAAGTGCAGCGGCAAAAAGAACTGTATTCCTCTCGAGGAGCGCCAGGCTCGCACAAGCCCAGCACTTCAGGCCGCAAGAAGGCGACCTCTGTAGCTCCCAAGCTCCCCATTGAGCTGAGCGCGACGCCTGCGACATCTCTTGCCGAAGACGCTCATGGCGAAGGCGAGGAACAAGCCTCAGACACCGCATGGGTTAGTGCAGGCGTCTTCATCCGCATGCTAAGGGAGCTCGGCGTGCTCCCTGGATTCATGTCTCTCGAGACTGCCAAGTCCATTGCAATGGTCTCCTCGATGGGGGGGGAGGGGAGCCTTCAGAGTACCCCCGAAGACTCAGGAGCAGGGGAAGCCACCGACAAACACGCCAATTCTGCAGTCGAGAAAAAGGTAAACTGGATCTATGGACGTTTTCAGGGCTGCCTTTCTGTCTAGGCCCTGTCGACGTCAGAAAATGTATTTACATGTACAACAAGTAACATCTACACGTCTATACATAATGTATACTACATGGCCTCCTGCTCTGTTTTCCCAGTGGGGTCCTCTTCGAAGGGCGGCAAAGCCATGGCATCGTCTCTAACTATAGCTGCGTGTTCATAGACGTATCCCAATGTGCGCGCCTATGAACTGCATACGTTTCTCTGTGTCAAAAAAAAACGCTATATATATATGTTTATATATGTGTGTATGTATGTATGCATACATGTTACTGCCTGCCGACTCCTCTGTTTCTTCTCGTTTTCTATTTGTTGCGTGCTCAGGGGCGTCTGGTCTTTGCCCAGTTTGTAGAGGCCGTCGTGCAGTGTATCTGTACCTGCACAGTGCAAAACTTGACACGTCGCTTGCAGCTGCCGGAGAAGCCCTCGAGACGTCCCCCAGACTCCGAGGCACCTCGGGATGCAGTGTACTGTCGCATCTCAGAGATTAGGGAAGAGGCCAAGCAATTGCTGGATCTCTTTGGTATTTTGAGCCTCCCCAGCGTTCTAGCCCTCACGAAGAGGCCTCTGAAAAGGAACGCCTTCTCAGGAGACAACTTGGACAAGGAGGGGAACGCTCCCGAGAGCCCCCCACGGCAGCAGCCCAACCAAGCAGGGAGCAGTACAGCCAAACAACAGAAGCCTGTTGCTGGCTTGCGAGTTTCAGGAGCTGCTGTTAGTGCAAAAGGACCCTAAAATAGCATATCCAGTGTATCCTGTGTTGCCTTCTTGCCTGTTGCTTCCCCTTGGCTATGCCTTGTTGTTTGATGCCGAAGAGGTTGTCAGCAGGCGACGGGGGAGGGGGGGAGGAGACACGAGCTCTCAGTTGCTCCCTCGAAAAGTCTTTCGCCTTGGACTGTACGTCTGCCAAAGCACCGCGGATCAACTGTGGGATGCCACACTGCCGCAGGGCCCCTGCTGGTGCCACTTCTGCTGGCGCAGCAGCAGGGGCTTTGGCAAACCCCTCTTTCCCCTAATTGCTACGAAATTCTTTTTTGCACATATGGCCATAGCTGCCCAAATGTATTGTCCGCAGTGATCGCAACATCACCTTAATATCACAGCAGGACAGTCTAAAGCCATACAGAGAGTGCTGCTCGACATGCTCAATTTTTAGCGTCTAGAGGACTGTTCGGCCCCGCAGGAGCAGCCAGTGTTCAGAAGTGGGTTGAAGTCTTCATGCACAGGGGAGCTTGAGCGGTAGGATGGAACGTGCTTCACCAAATACGGATATAAATAGTATATATTTATGCATTTGCTGAGAAGTTCCTTCCGCAAACTGTCTAAGCAGAATCAGGAGACAAAGGCTACACGAAGTACAAGCACACCACGTGCCTAGACAAGCGTCGCACTGGAACCTAGCATTCATGCGCTGCGCTAGATACCGTAGTTATAGTGATCGTGTTTCTTTTCTGGAAAAGCTGGACACCCGAACTGGAAGCCACCTCGTCTGTCTGGATGTTTATGAGCTCAGGGATCGCCTTTTCCTTCGCCTTTATGTAGGCGTTTGGCATATATGCCAACCTGGAATTTTGCATACTGTACACTACTGGCTCCTCTGTCAGTATGCAAGTCTCTTTCTACCACCGCCACCCGCTTTACAGGGAATCACCCGAGATTTTTCAGGATGCGCACGGCACTTACGAGAGCCTTCTTCTCATTATAATGCCTCTTCCTCCCTTTTAAAACGTAGAGCCCCGGACCACCCGTTAGAGATAACCACTTGGTGCAACCTAGTCTCGTTTCACAAGCCAGCAGCCACATGTCCACCTCAGTGGGACAAGGTACCTGCATCCGGGAGCTGGGGGTGTATGTACACTGGATGATTCAACAAGGACCCTTGACTGTAACGAACCAAAATCAACATCTGGGCACAGGTGTTTCTAATAAACATGAAGAATTCAAAGAACTCACTACGTGGCTTAACGGCTTTTGTAGGCCAAATGTTGTAACGCATAGCTAGCTCAGTACAATAAGAATCACCTTTGTGTGCGGGCCTGCCGCGGCAGGCTGCTATTATGCGTAGCTAGATTCAGATCTGCGAGTACTCTTGCATGGTGTGGCAACGCACATGTTTCCTAGCTGTCTCTCACTCTGCCCTAACTCTGAACCCTATAGGATGACGAGAGAAAAAAGGCGAAGGAAGACGCTTTTCCGACTGCCTTAATGCGGCGGGTCTAGCTACATTTGGACTGTTTTTACTCCTCTAGCTGTAGCCTTTCATAAGAATTAGCAAAAGAACTGATCAACTTGTTTGTCCGTTTGTTTATCTCATTCATTGCACAGTAGGATTGACTCGATACAGGTTGACGTCTTGTATGCGTCAGATGTTCTATGCACCTAGCTGTGAAAGCTCAAAGTGCGTAGAGGGTGCGATTACGCGTTCCAAGCTACTCTGCACTCATGTCAGGATCTCTGAGGGATGCGCGTTTTGGGAGGGGAAAAAAGGAGCTCGTTTTAAAAACCATGCAATAGCCCTCTAGCATATTTTTATTCGCTGTGGCATCAAGTGTCCCCCTACGGACACCACAGCCGGAGCGTCATGACGTTGCTTCGCCTAGGCCGCCTTGGCTCAGCTTCTCGTGCAGCTGGGATTCAGTGGGCGAGCTACCAGAGGTAAGGCACTCATGCGTCCCTACAAAGGCAAAGACTGTTGCTGTGCTTGTGTAACGCTGGCGCCGTCAAGTTGAGAGAACTAGTGGTGCAGAACACAAGGTTACACGCCTCGCTAGGAAACTATGTGTGGAATTCGCTTGCTGTTGCAATGGGGGGCGTGTGAAGAAAGCGTTTTGCGGCCCTTTGGCAAACCTAACCAATTTTGCACCACCCAACAGATTCCTCTTGCTGTCATTCTTACTGCAGCTGCTACAATGGCTAGTGATCTTGCGAGGCTAGGGAGGGCCACTGGCAGGGGTGTTGCCGCTCTGATTTGTGCCTTCCCTGCCCATGGGTTATCAGTTGCTGCGCTTTTACTAGCGGCGTTCGTAAGCAATTGCCACAACCGGGTGCGCAACCGCCTGTTTCTCTTCCTCTCTGCCCCGTGGCCCTTCTAACTGGCCAATTGGTGTTTGCGGGCTGCATTCACTACCTGAAATCCGTGCATTACGAGGACACTTAAAGGGAACTTGGTTGTGAGGCTATAAGGATGAACAAGAATGAAGTGCACTCATCACTTACCCTAGTCTTCTGCCATACCTATTCTCCATGCGCATATTGCCCCCTAATTGGCATTCAAGCATCCTAGAGAGGCGTGTGTTACGTGCAATGAAGCAAATCACTAAATTGCAGCAAGAGAACAGAAAATAGGTACAGGGGTAGTGGAATATACCTTCTATTCAATCATCGCAATGACAGTTCTATGTTGCTGCTTCCTTCGCCGGGAGCTGCCACCCGCCGATCGTTGATGGCCTTTCTCCCTTCCTTAGGGTCTTCTTGGTTTCAGGTTGATGTTTGTTTTTCTGCTAACTGTTTTCAAGAAGCCTTGTCTTCACTGTTTCGTTGGATGCTGCACTCCGCGGCGGCTTGAGGGAAGAGCTAGAGAGACTTTCTGCATATTCTGCACGTGTTGGCTGAAGGCCAGGCCAGGGTTCTAGTTCATGTGCATGAAGGCTTGCCTCTCTCTCTGCGTTGTTTGGCGGTTAGGGATCGTATAATGTAGGCATATTGGCGTATATGCCCTTTTTTCTTTACCATCACCTCCCCTCCCTGGGTGGTGCATAACTCCGCGCGGTCGTGCTGCTTGTTGTGTGATAAAATAACAGCTTCTTCTCCCCCTTAACGCTCTCTTTCTTCTAAATGTACTAAAGCAAATGTTCATCCCGGTTGTTCCTTCCCGCTTTCCCGCCTCTATCCTTTCTCACAGCCCCCTGCCGCCTCCTGCCGGCAGCAGCGCTCCATCCTGCGCCTTGCGTTACTGTCGCTTTCTCGGGGGATCCTCATGATGGATCCCATGGCAGGCCGTCCCCGTGGTGGCGGCTTCCGTGGGCAGGTGCAGCCTCCTCTGAGGCTGCGCATGGGTCGCATTTTGCTGCGGAGGAAGAAGGTGTCGCAGCAGGATTTCTCCAGTGTATGGCAGCTGCTCGGTTTGGTCGAGGATGATGACTGGGCAACTTCTGCGGAGGAAGCGGCGAGCACCTCTTTTGTCTTCCTCTACGCTGTGGATGTCACGGATGTCGGTCTAGAAGGCCAGGTGCCACGAAATGCTCCCATAAGAGTCCTAGCAGTGCGGCCACCTGTCTCGCAGTGCCCCTCTCTAGTAGAGCATCAGCGCATAGCCAGCAATCTGAGAGACTATCTTCGCAGCCAGCTTGCCTCCTCTCCCCTCACGAGGCACTTCATCTTTGTTTTCAACGAGAAGCACACGTGGATAGGGCTTCGAAGCAAGAGCACGTCGATACTGGGTGGGGTCCTTTGAACGTGTTTTGCAAGATACGATATTAGCCACTTTCAGATGCCTCCTGCGGGAAAAGTTTTGTCGCTTGGACGCAATGCGCTTCCAGGCAGGCAGGCAGGCAGGCAGAGTCTGGCAAATTAGCAGCGCTCAGAGATACTGCTGTAGCAGTCTCTGGAAACGTCCCCCTACTCTTTCTCGCTTGCGTGATCCTTCGAAAGGGCCTGGTGACTTCTTGGCCTCTGCTGCGTGTCTGTATTCAGGCCGAGGCCAATACGTCGCTGTAATCAACATTTCAACCCAAGTTAATGGATTGACACCTCTAGAGGTGCGTCTTTTGGAGGAGCAGCAGATGGCTGCGAGGCTAGTCACAGGCCCTTCAGGCAGAACAGTTGGTGGTTATTCTGTTTCAATGGCCACGCGTTTCTCCAGAAGTGTGGATGCCTCGCATCATCATTTGCAGCTGCAGCAGCACCAACCGGGCAGTGTGGCTGCCGCGGCAGCGGCGGTTGCAGCTGCACGGGGGGACAGAGGCAGTGTTTCTATGGCGCATTGCGGGTTGATTCCACAGCATCAGATGCAGCAGCAAATTCATTTGCAGCAGCAGCAGCAGCAGCACATTGTCTCGCCAAGGAGGTCATCTTCGCTTGAAGGGGTTCCTCCTGCATCTGCCATGGCTTCGAGCCACCCCGATGGCATGGATACACGGGAAATTCACACACACGCATCGCAGCGGGAAAGCGGCCAACATAGCTAAATCATTGAATACATATCAATGCGCGTTGTCACTTCAGGGCCGCTTTGTACATCCCCACTTTCATGATTCCATGTAATGTTCCTACATATATATATATATTATACCCGTGCACACCTGCTTGCCCCTTTTCGTCCCCCCGTGTAACTACCTGAATTCAATCAGGCCCCCCAGCGTTTTTCATGCAGTTGCCTTTGCCGGCTGTTCATCATATATACGTATATATTATTTGATACTTCTTTATCGAACCGAAATTTATCGGGGTTGGTGCGGGATGGGCTCTCATTTCTTCTGGCGTCTCCCTCCGCTTTCTTTTGGAAAACTAGCGTGCTGCGTATCCATCTTTGTTGCTGTTACTGAGCGGCAGTCCGCTTTGGCAGCTTCTCTCTCATGTTCCTCTGATGCATTCAACTACCAACTTCTGTCATCGAAGCACCTCCTCCCCAGTTCGCGCCCATCCCCAGCGTTTCCTTTGATCAAAAAGCCGCTGCAGTTCATGGCGGCTGATGACAGAGTGCCCCAAATGTATTGAAATTTTGATATATCCGACAGCATGTTCCGAGAATTCTTCTCGTATGCTTTCCGCGTAGTTTTGGCGCGGCCGCGGGAACAAGGAATAGCCGTTAAAACCATCACTCTATTCCTACACCGCGCGAACTGTATGTACAGCACAGCCCCCCCTGCTTAGCACACCGATAGAGAGTTTAGTTCGCCAGTCTGTTGGCGACACAGCACACCCCATCCGCATACAGCATAGCACGTGTTGCAATACGCCCCCACCGCGGCGATGCCGCCGCGTTGGTCACTTCAGGTTGTAATGATCATGTGCAACCCTCTAGCTGCCATGCAGCGCTCCGAGTATTTGTTGCGAACAACATAGGTTTATCATAGGTCTTTACAGTATAGGTGTGTATGCGTACCAAATATAGTGCATCTTCCATACAGCGCGCGTGGCATCGACATGCGTGTCTCTCTATGTCTGCGTGTCTGGTGGCAGAATGCCGTGCTTTTTTCGAAACGTTCGTAGCCCGCGAAAATGTCTATCGCAGGCCAATAAGGGCTGCGTCCACCGGCACCGAGAGAAAAAGCCGAATAGGATGGCTAGGCAGATACTCTCATCGAAGTCACCTTTTCCGCAGGTGGGCAAGGCCTCCTAATATCCCCTCAAGGGAGCGCTTTACTGCTGGAAAGGGAAATCATGGGGCTTACTATGGCCTTTAGTCATAATTGGATAAGAAGGTTTGCGCGGCGCATGCTGAGCGTGGAAGGGGGGTCCCTGGCACCTCGACTCTATTTTAACTGCTGTCGCACATCTGCCTAGTGCCCTGCCAATCCACGCTTGTTTCAGTCAGCAGCGTGAGAACTACCCCCTTGCCAAAGTGCTGTGCTTGGCTTTGGGCCTTGCTCAGCGACGTCAGGAGGTCTCACCTTCGCTGTACTGTCTCTCTTCCTCCTTTGCACTTGGGTGTCGATCGCCGCTCCGGGGTTCTTCAGTCTCCGCTTGATGCGGAGGGGCAACTGGCAGAGACGTGTTCCTCGCTTGCCCAATGAGGCGACCAAACCGCTGAAGAAAGAGTTGTAGCTCTTCTTTTTTGGCTCCTGAATCGCAGCAAAACAGAGGCGAGAGAAAAAAACAGTCAGGTGTCTTATGAGGCCCTGCCGGCATCGAGTGTACCGAGCTCGCCCGCTTTTATACGAACGAGAGGGGAGGCTTGCTTTCGTAGTGTGTTTGAGTTGCGGGGAATATGGAAAGGGAGAAAACGGCTTGTGCTTGGTGTTATCCAGTGGCGGACCGATGGCGCAAGCCATGGCACAGTAAGGTACTGGGAAGCGGCAGTGGCTGCCAAAGCTCTGCAAGGAAATCCCTGCCAGCTGCGTGGCTGAGGCACAAGCAGCACACAGCTAAGACGCATGAAAAGAAAACACAGGGTGGCCATATTCCCAGCAGCAGCAAACGCCGCTGTCAATACCAGGGCACTTCAACAGGGGGCTTTGCTGGTGAGAGCGACAGAGCACACCCAAATTGGAGTGCCAAGGTAATCAACTACGGGGAAGGTAACGACACAACACACGCCATATGGCCTTCCCGAGGATAGGGGGAAACAGAGAGAGCCTCCATCTGTAGGAGGGCTGCCAATGCCAACTTGTTGATTTGCACCAACAGATCGACGAAAGAATGTGCTTTGTTTCAAAGGGCACGAAGAATAAAGCGCATGCCGCATGACACAGGCAAAGGCATAGCAGGGTCCACGCAGTCGCAGGCGGATGCGGTAACAGACACAGGGCATGAGAAGGAAACGTGAACACAGTTGCTCACCAGCTGCACTCGGGGTCACTACACGCAAGCCTGAACATCTTCGGAAGAATAACTGAGACCCCAGGAAGGATGCTGAACAAGCACACAGGGCCTAAAGCATGGCTGGCAAGCATCCGAAGACACAGAGCTGATATCCCGAAGCGTCGATTAGGACTCATCCTTCTGAAGCCCTCGCCTTCTGCTCCTCCTCCTCGCTGTTGTGCCTGAAATGCATGCTACTCCCTCATTTTTTCGAGCTGCAGACCCCTGTCCCCCATCCGCATCTGGCCTCGCCCAGTGCCTGCTTCGGGGTCGTCTGTCTGTGCTTACGGCCTCTATCCTCGTAGGCTTCACTCTTGAGTGTAGACAGATCGACTGCGATGGAGATCTTATTGCGGGGAGACGGTAGCACACGCAGGCCTGCACGTCCGCAAAGCCAAACGCCTCTGCCACAGCAGCAGCCTCTTAGACAACACTTCTTGCAGCAGTGTGTGAGAGCCCTCCACGAGCACACATGCAACAACTCTGCTGGTGCCGCCGAAGCAGCCGCTTAGCGAATCCACGAAACGTATGCCCATAGAAAGGCCACCCCCCTTTTAAGGCCCTTCACGAGGCCTGCCCCATCGACCCCCCACAGCGAAGCGCCAAGAGGCCCCCCTTCCCCCTCCCCTCGACTTCGCCTCCCCTTCTTGCAGACAGACCTAAAGAAGCGCACAGAGTGGTTAGCTCCTCTTTGAACCACGCAAAGAGCTCCTTGCGGTCCCTCAGGAGCTGCTTAAGACCGACTTTGCCTGCAGACGCATGCCACACAGGGACAGACTGATGAACGGCTGCATCCGCTGGCCTCAAGCCATACACCCCGGCTTCTTTTCGGCACGCGGTTCGCTGTCTTCCTGTTGGCTTCACCAAGGCCCCTCTGGAAGAGGCCTCCGGCTGTTCGGCTGCATTGAGGAGTAACCCCTGTTACGCAGGTGCACCCTTCGCTCATGCAGACGACACACTCTCTGTTGCATCCGCCTAGCGAGGGCAGGAGATGTGTGCCTAAAGGAAGTGCAACCTTCCCCCTCCGCACATGCCCTTCATGAAAGCCTCGTCGTCTCCTGCACACCCAGTCCGCCGAGGCTCTCCAAGAAAAGGCCGCCAGTCTCCTGCCCCGGAGACTTGCTTGCCGCAGGCGGAGGCAGCTGTCGAGCGAGCGGCTCCTCAAGAACCTTGAGAGCACCCACCCTTGAGAGGGCAGCCCAAGATAGGGCATGCAACACACGAGCAGCCGTAGCAGGCAAGGACTGTCGCTAAAAAGGCCTTACCCATCTCTAGCAGCGTGATCAACAAATCAAGGATCGGACTGATGCTCGCTCGCCCCGGGTAGCAGGCCGAAACGCGCGACACTAACCTGCACAAATGCCCATGCATGCTCGAGGCCAACTTCCTCAAGAGGGCGACACAACTTACCATGAGGCCCTAACAGCAGCAGGGAAAAAAGGTGGTCGTTTCGGTGGTTGGGTGCCCCCTAGAAGGGGGCCAGTATGGGACGTTCACCATGGGAAGACGCTCAATGCGGAAGGCATCGAAAATATTCAAAGAGGAAAAATGCAAGTCCAAGGGAAGGCCCCAGCCGCGAAAGAAAGAACGAGAGTGGGAAGAAACGCAAGGTATATATTCGAAGAGCGCTTAGACCCTTGGTATTACTTGTCTGTGGTGTCTCACTCACTCGGGAGCAGGGCCGTATATAAGTGCACCGCCTACGGGAGTCAGGAAGTTCTTGTCGCAACTAGACACGACCAAGTCCACGCGTCCAGCACTGCATCCCTGGGGCGTCAACACACAACCAACACAGAGGCAACCGCGTCATGCTGCATGGCGTATCCGTAGACGCACAGCTACATCCAAAAGGGCCTTGCCTGCAAAACACAACTGACGGTGGGAGGGGCCGCCTGGCTTGACATCGAAGAGCTTCTGCTCTCGCAGTTTGCACTTCACACAGATGCGGATACGATACATGCACACGACCCCGCCCGTGCATCAAAAGCAGGGAGGGAGGGGATTAGAGAGGCAGACGCCAGAGGACAAAAAGCGATGCAACAACGCAGAGGCTAAATCTCCCGCCACAACAGCCCTGGCAAAGATTGCAAATGCAGCTCAAACATGCGGCCCCAAGATCACAGCCTATTGATCGAGCCAGCCTCGGCCCACAAGGGTGTTGCTGCAACGGTTGGTGTTGTTGCAACTGTTGGTGCTGTTGCAGTTGTAGCCGCACCTGCTCGACAAGGGCGCAGCATTTGCTGCACTGGAGGCCATACGCGTTATTGACCAGGTGGAAGACTCCCATCTTCTTACACAGCTGCAGTCGCGCGGCACTCAGAGCACAAGGAAGAGGCACTGCGTCTTTTCAACAACGCCAGCCATATATATATATACACGTACAGCCCTCCCCCCTTCCCCTCCTCCCCTTAGCGGCCCTTTCAGCGAGCCATGGCTGTAGCAGCATCCGAGGCAGGGATACTCTCTATTCGCGCACCGAGGCAACGACACATGCCAAGCAACACAGCAGAAGAAGCGAGAAAGCATTTTGCTCTCTGCTTCTGTGTAGCAGCAGAAGGATGTGAGCGCCTTGTTGAACGCACCTGCGCAATCTGCAGAATCATGTCAGGCTGTCGGGGAGCGAACGCCGAAGTTGTGGAAATGACGCACAGGAGACGGTGTGCTTCCGCAGTCATTGCGCCTGAAGGAGGGGCGGCCCGTCAAAAGACACAAAGAAGCGAGGTCAACAGGTTGCTAGGAAAGAGAGGCGAGTAGATATACGTATGTATGCATATATATATGTATACATAGAAGGGCGGTGTGGCTAACCGCGAAAACTTGACGGTTGGCACAAAAGACCACCAGGGACAGCATCGTGGAGAAAACTACAATGCCTTCATGGACCGTTGGTTTCAGAGCTACTACATATACACATTGATGGGGCCCCCGCTCCTCGCGTTGCATGCGCGTGCATGCGGAAGGCAGGTGATGCGGGAGAAGACAACGGAATACAAAGAAGAGTCCGCATACGGAAGGTGCTCACGGACAGCAGACACTGCACCGAAAGCTCCTCTCCTCTGTCCAGCAATACAAACTGAGCAGACGCAGCTAGCTAGCTAGCCAACAGGAGCCTTCTCCACGAAGCGGCGCGCGCGGAAAAACGGCGGCCACCAACACAAAACGAGGCAGAGCCCATGAGACGATTTTTGTTGAGAGAGAGACAGAGAGAGAGACAGAGAGAGACAGAAAGAGAGAGAGACAGAGACAAAGAGACACAAAGAGAAATAGAGAAAGGGAGAGAAAAAGAGAGAGAGGGGGGAGGGTAAGGCCCTTTTCCTGCCACTCTACGGCATCTTCCGTGGATCGCGAGATAGTACACACACATACACACATACATGCGGCCAAAAGCCCCCCTCTTTTCAGCGAATTACATGTCAGAAGTCTAGTGTCTATCAAATTGTCACAGAGCTTCGAGCTCCAGACGCACTCTCGATGCCGGCGAGGTCCGTTGTAAGAGTTCCGTCTGGCTCGAGGCGCTGATCTACCACTCGCAGCTTCAGGCCTTGGCACGTCCATCCATACATACACACACACACTGACAGACACACAGCTAAATACACACTGACAGACACACAGCTACACACTAGACCACACAGACAGCGTAACAGTTCAGAGGCCGCAGAAAGACTGGGAAGGATGTTGCTCTCCAGGAGGTAGGCGTCGTGGTCGTTCGTCTCTGGAGCGATTAACTGCTCCGTGTGTCTGCCTTCCTAGGCCCCTATAAGTAAGCGTTTGCTCAGACGTCCTCAGGTGCTCGCTGCATGCCTTGTGCATGCTTCTCTTCTGCACACGCGCCCTACTTGATACTGCTCTGAGCAGTATCAATGTGTGCGAGAGGGGAGACAGCGGCAGCAGGAGAGCGCGTCGCCGGCAGACGCCGAGTTCCACACAAATTTTTCAAGAGACCGCATGCAGCAGCAGACCTACCAGCATGCGTGACAGCCTTTATGCATGCCTTCTGGTCTATCCGCGAGAGGATGACCACTTCCGCCTCTGGGCATAGGCTCTTAAGAGCACCGAGGCAAAGACTCATAGACATACCCGTAGCTATGGGGACTGGCAGACACCGCGCTGCGGACTGTCGCGCACGACACAAGAAAGTAGCGGCCAGCCCCATGGAGGGCCATTCGCATGCAGCAGCAGCCGCGCAGAGATGGAAGAACTAAAAGGAGAAGGCGGAAGCCCGCAACGGCCTGCCGTCCTGTGGTCGCTACCTAGGGAAGAGGTGCCAAGCCGTGTCTCCTGAGCTTCCTCCTCACCTGTACGCCACATAGGCGGACTGCATGCAGCGCGAGGTAGCTCGTCAGTTGATACAGCAGCGAGGAGCCCACAGCCTTAGGCTGCAACGCGAAGATGTCTCCCGACCTACGTGCAGCAAGAATTCAGACCCGTGCATGCATGCGCGAAGAGCATCTTGCAAGCTTTCAGAAAACCCAGGAATCTCACGCGCTGTCCCTCTCGCTCCCTTTGTGTGCGGGTGCTTGCCTGCCAATGCCGTGCGCGAAGTGGTAATGCCTTTGCCTAACAAGCGAGCTGAAAATGCGGCCTTCCCTCTCCCCCACGGAGGCCTGATCCGGCTGATTGTTGGCGTCGGTTGCCGCAAGCTCCAGCAGCAGGTGCTCAATCTGCAGCGACGTCCAGCCTGCCTCCGGCAGTTGGCGCTGAGAAAGGAGGCTGCATGCCCAGGGCGCAGCAGCCACACCACAAAGAGGCAGGGAGGTCCTGAGAAGCTGCAGAGGCATACGCGACGCCGTGCGTCTTCCCTGCGGCAGGAGAGTGGCATCTGCAGGCAACCTGCGGCCTGAGGTGGAACGCGCCGCTTCTTAGGGCAGTACAGTTGCACTACCTGTTGAAACGACGGCTCAAGGAGTCCCTCGCCTGCGCGCGTAGACGCTCACACCGCAGGAAAACATGTGCGGCGGAGAAGCAGGTGCGGTGTATGCGGCAGCACCGCAACGCGCGCAAACGCGAGGGAGAGGCCTGCCCGGAAAGCCAGAGGGGCTAGGCGGCAAGCGACACACACAGAGGAACTTCTTCTCTTTTTGTGTTTCCCACGACCTTCTCACCTCTCTGGCCACACGGCAGTATGAAGGACTCAACAAATCCTCCACCGCGTCAAAACTCGCTTTCTCCATGGTGAAATGCGGCTTGCGTTTCGTTTCTGTGTCGTTGACCTCTGCCTATGCAAAAAGCGCTCAGTACGGCTTGAGAAAGCCAACCGCAGCCCCTATCGGTGCGCAATGCAGCTTTTAAAAAAACTCTTTTGCGGGGCAGCAGCTTAGTACATCCATGCAGACACGCCTGGCCGCCAAGCCGGCCAGCACCCGGAGGTGTCGAGACACACAAACGCGCACATATGGCTAACCCCCCCGGATCCATGAAGAAACCAGCACCACAGCTGATACTTTCTTCCGCCACGCAACCAATCTCAGCAGAAATACGAACGCTGCTGACGAAAAAAGCGGCTTTCCGGGAAATCCTTGTCGAGTCGCTCGGCGGTTGCTGCTGCTGTCGATGAAGGAGTACCAAAGAGGAGCTCCCAGCCTTCTTGAGGGACGATAGCCACTGAAATCCCTTCGTATCTAATGGAAAACACCTTACACATGCCAGAGTACAGCGCATTACCAACTACGCACAGACTCATCGAACCTCATGGCAGCGGCTGCTGCCGCTCCTCCACTGCAGAATGCATGCGCCCCTTGTACTTCCTAGGCGGCATCATGCAATGTACTGCGACTCCGACGTGCAATCTCTGCAATCTACACCGCACACCATAGACACTTATGGTCAAGGAGCTGTCTTTTGGGGAGGAAGTCCTGTGGCTGCTCAAACGGCAGCGGCGGCGGCCCTGCATCGCGAGTTGTACGGGGTAATTTACACCGCAGTCTACACACACCATCCGTAGCCCATTTTCTTGCCTCTAGCCGCCAGCTGTATCTGCTACTGCCTCGTCCAGGAGCTTCTGCCGCAACAACCGCATGTCTGCCTGGCGTCTGCAGCAGCAACTGCAGCAGCTCTAGCCTGCGGCTTTCGCTGGAAGGTTTCTTTCCCTGAACCCCTCCCTAATGCGCTGCAGCAGATATGGCCTGCCCACTCGGAGGGCAGCTGCAGGGCTCCCACAAACTTGAGGGTGCTCAGGAGCTGCCTCTACAGCAGGAAGATGCCCAACAGAATCAAGAGGAGCTGCCTCTACAGCAGGAAGATGCCCAACAGAATCAAGAGGAGCTGCCTCTACAGCAGGAAGATGCCCAACAGAATCAAGAGGAGCTGCCTCCACAGCAGCAAGATGCCCAACAGAATCAAGAGGAGCTGCCTCCACAGCAGCAGCAAGATGCCCAACAGAATCAAGAGGAGCTGCCTCCACAGCAGCAGCCGCTCCAAGACGGCACTTGCACCCCAAAGTCCAAGCAGCCACACAGCTTCGACTATAGGCAGCCATCACGCATTAGCAGCGCTATGTCTCCAGTGCATCGTAAGGAGGCGCAAGAAGCCTCTCAACGGGAGGATCAGAAGGGACAGACGCTGGTGTCTCTCACAGAGGGTCGATTGCAGCACTACGTGAGGCGGCGGACTCTGCAGTCTCCCAAGAAGACTGGCAAGCGGAATTTGACGCACTCAGACAATCCCTCGACACGTTCAACAAAGGAGAGCCCCCACGAGAGTCTGTTTAGTGAGGCTTCAAGCGGACCTCTGGGTGGTGTTAGTCAAGAGGCCGTTGGCAGGAGCCTCACTGCGACGGCTGCTGTCAAGAGCAGCCGCAGGAGCAGCAGAAGGCACAAAGCCTCGCAAGAACCGGCTTGCCCTCCGCTGACTGCATGCAGCAGCCCCATCGAAGACAAGGGCCCTGCTGCATGCGCTCCTTGGCGGACCACCCTCGTGATTGAAGCGATTGACTGTGGCACAGGCGGGTGCGCTGTATGTCTCCCTGTCTCCGCTGCTACAGCCTTGCGGCGAGACGCTCACAGCCGTCGGCAGAGGCGGCATTCCAGCAGCAGCTGCAGCAGCAGCTGCAGCAGCAGCTACAGCAGCAGCGCGGTTTCTACGCCAACCTCGAGTGGCGGCGGAGGCAGCAGGAGCAGCAGCCTGGGCACTTCTCTGTACCCCTGCAACTGTGCGCAGCTATGGGTAGAGATTGAGGCTCTGAGGGGCCCTGGGAGGTCAGAGACGCTGCGGCTGCTAAGCGGTAGCAAGGCGTTGCCGCGCTTCGTTTCGCCCCCCATAGTGCTGCCTCGCCGCATGCGGAGGCTGCAGTTCCACCTCTTCCGACGAACTCCGTGTCGACAACTCCTGAAGCAGTCGACAGCGTGGAAGGATACGGGAGAGCTGCTGGCCAGCAGAACTGTCGCCATTCCAGAAGGCCCCTCCTGCGCCGTCAAGTGCATTTTCGGTTAGATCTGAAAGCCTAATAACGTCTCGCTAAAAGCACTTTTTGGAGCGTACCCTCAGACTTTCGCGCTCTGCGAAGAGGCGTAGCGGGGTCGCACGGCTTTTGCAGAGAAAAAATCAAAATGCGGGACGGCAGACAAGCGCACATAGAGGGGCACGCAGGGAGGCGGATGTATAAAGGCACCGGATTACACGCACATACACACATACACATACACACACACACATGCACATACACACATACACATACACAGGCACAAACAGGCACATACACACATACACATACACAGGCACAAACAGGCACATACACATATACACATACACAGGCACAAACAGGCACATACACATATACATATTATGTATACATACACACACAGGCACTTGCAAACAAAAGCGAACGGGACAGAGAGTCCATAGTATACGGATAACGTGGCATGCATGTGCAAAATCATGAGACGATGTTTTCTTGGTTTTTGTGTATAGGCGTTCCGGGATGCACAGTAGTCTCTCCTGCCAGTTCCACTCTGTGAGCTTGCATTCGTCGCACGCGCGCATCCCGCTGAAGCGTTTCTTGTCACTCAGGCAGAAGTGCAGCTGCCAGTACTGCTGCTGCTGCAGTACTATGGAGAAGGGGCCTCCTATGGTGGGGTGGCTGTTGTTGTTGCATCGTGTGTGCCTTTGCAGCATGCAGGAGGCGCTGAGCTTCGCTGCCGGCTTCTCAGATGGGGAGTGGGATTGGCTGCGTCTTCGGCGGCTCAGAGATCGAAACACTGCATTGGACGATGAGGGTCGTTGTACTGCTGCCTCGGGGGAGAACTCTGGAGCTGCTGGTGGGGAGCAGCGTCGCCTCCTCGGATTTCTACTGTCAGCAGTCCAGCCAGTCTGTTGGTGGCTGCGGCTGTCTGCCCGGTTCTGCGGCCGAGAAGCTGTCGCTACACTCCACGGAGCGTACGAGCAGCTGCTGGAGGGGGCAGACTGCGTTAGGCTGGTTGCATGTGGGTTGCTGCTGCTGCTGCTGCTGTCTGCGGAGCTGTCGCTGTCGATACACTCCCGGTGGCTGACCTGCCGTACCTATTATGTGTAGCGCTGTGTTGTTGAGACAGCTGCACAAATGGCTGAGATGACGAATTTAGGTAGGAACAACGCGAAAATCAAGCACCGTGGCGTGACTTGAGTCTTACTTAGCCTTTGTGTTTCTTTTTGAATGCCCCTTCCTTCACAGATGACAGTGTGGCACTCGCCCTCTTCGAGCCGTAGAGCGTGGTGGAGAAGGAGGAGGAGGCTATGTTCGTCCCCTGCCCCTTCTGCAGCAGTAGAGATCCTGCTGCGGTTCTTGCTAACTTGTTCACTGCAAAGCACCAGCTTTTAGCAGCACATCTTGGACGTAACGCTCTTGAAGCGTCGGGGTGTGGCAATAGTATAAAAGTACGCCATTCACCCACCAACAGCAGCTGCAGGCAACTGCAGCCCTAGTGGCGACGACGGCAGCAACAGCTGCACGAATCGCAACAGTAGCAGTACCAGCAGCGGCAGCAGCAGTGCGCTGCTATGGTGTTTCGCGCTGTCTGGTGTGCGTGCTGCCTTTCTGGGTGTATGGTCTCTGCCTAGTCTTGTGCATGTAACGCCGTGTCCGTTGCCGTTGCACAGCGATGGCCTTAGGGGCGCATTCTTCGCATGCGGACGAAGAAATACTTTTCACGAAACGATGGCGCCCTCTGGAGAGCCGCACTGGTGCAGATCGTAAGAAAGCAAAAAGGGGGGGGGAAACATATTCTGGAGGCATTGGGCATTTACGAAACCATGAGACAATAGAGGAATCATTGAAATAGCAAATAGCGTTGTTTGACGTGACGCGTAACGAAACGCCAAGCCGGTATTGCGTATATGGGGTAGCTCTCTGATACAGATGAGACGCTCCATCTAAGGCCTCTCTAGGGAGACTCATTTCGCGACTCACCACAAACCTAGTAGGTTGTCGAGCGCTTCCCAAAAATACTTTTGCGCTTCCCTGCCCTTGTACATCAAAATTTACGAAATGAGGAGAGAGGGACAGTTAAGAGGCGCGCAGCTGCACCCTCAATTCCGAGACTTCGCAGGTATTTGCTGATAGCATCTGCCGTGCAGACACAGAGCATTGTGTCTTCTAGTACGGAGCTAACAGTACTCTTTAGTAAGTAAAAACATGAATAGGCGGACTCATTATTGAACCATTCCCAATTTCAAATATGAGATAAATCGTGTAGTAGTTGGCGTTTGAGTTCAACATGGCCTTTTACAGATTAGTTCTTGAGGCCCAGCAAGAATGCACTGATATGGCGGGATATTTTGGTACAAGACATCCGGATCGTTTCGTCTGGTTTACACATGTACCTGATAACTGCTTTGTAAAGCTTCCAAGGGCCCTCCTTGAGTTTTATTTCATAAAGAGACTTCAGCACAAGAGTCACTTGTGCAAAGAACACTGAAGCGAGCGAGAGCGGTCCGCGGAACTTGCTTTAGCTTATTTGGCCATTCAAATTCAAAAGCCACACTCAAAAATTATTATAGCTACAATAACAATGAGATTAATACAATTTTAGACAAGATCAACTGTGGCAAGTGGGAGGATGGTGCTGCCGCTCTTGCGGACGCCGGACTTCGTCGTTCGTTCTGACTCTCCTCCTGCACGAGGCCTTTTAGCCGTCTTACGTTTGACTCATATTCCTTTACACGTGCAGAAAAATCAAGTAAGCGATCAAGACTCAGACAGAGAAAGACATGTTGCGCGAGCTGCAGAAACACCACAAGCTCAGTCGCTGCGCGCCGGTGTCGGCGGCTCCCGCAACCAGTTTTCTTCTTCATTCCCTATTTCGTCCAGTTTTCATAAATACTGCCAAAACTCAAATTGTTTAGGGAATATTTGGATGACAACTGTATTTTCTTTCCTCTCTCAAAACGGGGCGCTGCCTCGACACCCGAAAAGAATCTGTCCGGGCACCACTGTAGTTCCTTGAATCTCTTGGAGCGCAGGCACCCAAGGGAAGAGAAAAAACCTTTTTTATGATGCCCTTCAGCTCTTCGTCCCTCGATAATTCTGAGTGCTCCATATAGCTGGGGATTTCGGGCCACTCTTGCGCCGTTTTTATGTTTCTCTTGAGTTCCCAGTGCCGGAAACTTCCTTGACCATCGCACTACAGTACGCGGAAGAAACACGAGGCACCAGAGAGTGAGAGGCCACAGAAAGACTAGTCGATTGCTGTGAGTATCTGTCTGTACACCGCGGAGGCCAAAGACAGCCATCACCCCCTGCGAAGTGTCTTAAGGATATCCAATGGCTTGTGGCTTTATTGTGAGGAGAACCAAGGGCAGTCCGCCTTCATAAATGCTCCTTATCCCGGCTGCCGGTGCGTTATCCCTGACTACAACTGAGATTATTTCCAGCAGCGAAGCCTAAACCGCAGGGCTTTGCCACGAGACGCACCCTCGTTGCCTCGCCGCACAATGCCCATCTGAGGCTCTGACTTGTTTGCACATCCTCAAGTGCTCCTACAAGGCTTGCGCTGCTTCTCAGACATTGCCATTTGCCTGTTTGTGAAAGATGGGAGGACTTATTTCTTGTCAGTGTCTGGATGCCTCAAAGGAAGACGGCACGCTTGAGCTCATCCCGAACGACCCCAGAGAGGTGTGCGCGCGCTGCTGACAATTCGCTCTAAAACACATATTTATTGGGGGTTTAAGGTTTTAAAAAGGGAGAGATCGTAGCGCACTACACTCCATTGGATCGTCTGTCTAGGATTTCGGTGTTTTGCAGTGTGGTGTTGCTCTCAGGATAGCGTGCAGAAGACGACCTTGCTGGGTGGGCAGCCTGTTCAGCGATGCCTCTTCCTCTGCTGCAGGATGAGCATATCTCCATTTATATGGGTGCTTTTGCAGTTTGCGCGCCGTGTAATATGCATGCATGCGTGTGGTCTCTGCAGTTGGGGGAATCCAATACACTGGGGAGCTGAAGGATGGTCTCAAACACGGATACGGCATTTTGGTGAGGCCTTGTGGATCCAAATTTGAAGGGAACTTTAAGAATGGCGTGGCAGACGGAGATGGGAAATTCTTTCATCCCTCAGGTATTCAATTGAAAAGGCTTTCTCCTACTGCATGGGGTTTGTTGACAAGGCCCCTTGCATGGCGGCGTCGATCTGCGCGCCGCCGATACTGCAGCATCCGCGTGCTGTAATTTCCCGTTTGGGGGCTTCACAGTCGCCTGTCTTCTTCTGGGATCCAGCGAAGTGCCATAAACACCTCTTGTGCATCTTCTGCTGCTGCCTCTGCTGCGTGTTCGTCCTAGGAGACAAATATGAGGGTCAATGGAAGCAGAATAAGGCCCATGGAAAAGGGCGATTCACGCATGCAGACGGATCGTACTATGAAGGTACACACGTTTTTCGGCCCTTAGGATCGCTCAAGACTTTTGGCCAGGGGGGCTGCTAGTGGGGAGTGTTAGCTGCGCTCTAACTGCTACGGATAAAGACGCGCCTGCTTGCTTTACGCCTCTGAGGCTGCTGCCAAGCTAAAGGCTGCTGTCCGTTCAGGTGACTGGATATGCGACGTCCAGGAGGGCTGGGGGTTAGAGCGGTGGGCAGATGGCAGCGGGTATGAAGGCGAATACAAGGGCGGCATGAAGCATGGGAAGGGCACATTTAGGTGGCCTGATGGAAGCGTTTACGAAGGACAATTCTCTGAAAACGATATCCACGGAGAAGGCACATACATTTGGAGTGACAACAAAAAATATACTGGTGCGGGCTGTGCTTCGAACGGCCAGGAACGTGATTTTTAACGGCATTTCAGAGAGCTTTCGAGGCTGCCCACCGTGCCCCTGTATGTGTATGCAAATGTGTGGTGTGTATGTGTGGTGTTTATGTATGCATGTGTATATGTATATGTATGCACCTCTATTTGTGCGTATGCATGCATGTATGTATGCATGCATGTATATATATATGCATGCATGTATATATATATGCATGCATGTATATATGCATGTATGTATGCATGCATGTATGTGTGCATGTATATATGTATGTATGCATGTGTGTATGCATGCATGTATGTATATGTATATTTATGCATGCGCTGAGTTTGCAACCCGTTTCGTCCCCATTCTTACCTTTTCTTCAAAAAAGATACAGATTTCTCCATGCCATTCCTGAAGTGCGCTGCCTCATTCGCCTGCAGGGCAGTGGATCCACAACCGCATGGACGGCCAGGGCCGCATGCACCTTGCAGATGGGAGAGTGTATGAGGGTGGTTATCGGTGCGACAAGAAGCATGGGAAAGGTGGGAAACAGCAATAGCACACAAAACTTTTTTGTACTACGTCCCTGGATTTCCGCTAGTATGCACAGTGCAAGTGCGCAAGGATGTCGTTTTTTAAAAAGTTTTCCTTTGAGCCGCCGGCTCTCCTGTCCTTTGCTCCTTCCCTCCATTTTCTCATGCTTTTGCTTCTTTGGCCAACTGAATTTTCGTTTAGCTGCCTACGCTTTTTCTGCGCGTCTCTTGTGCTGCGGCGCCTTCCTCCCCTCCTGCCGCCCTCTGCCGGCTTGTCGCTCACCGTGTTTTCACTTGCTGCCTTCTTGCGCTGCTTGAAAAACTACGCAGGGAAAGTGACTTGGCCAGATGGCCGATGGTTCGATGGAGAGTGGTGCGACGGCCGGCAACATGGAATCGGCTGTTACTTCTCTGCCGATGGGCGTCCTGTCTCCGAAGTGGAATGGAGTTATGGAAGGAAAATTTCCGTCATCGAAGGTAACAAATTGCACGTTATGAGCTCTTCTGTAATGAATTTGCCGTACACTCGAGCGCCTAGTGACCCTAGACTGTCAGAGGTCTCATAAGAAACTTTCTTTTTTCTCTTTCTCTCTGTCTGCCTGTCTGTCTGTCTGTCTGTCTACCTCTCTCTCTCTCTCTCTCTCTCTCTCTCTCTCTCTCTCCCTCTCTCCTTTCTCTCTCTCTCTCTCCCCCCCCCCCCCCCCCCTCCCCCCTCTCCCCCCCCCCCCTCTCCCCCCCTCTCCCCCCCCCCCCCCCGCCCACTCCCCCTCTCGTCTCACTCCCTCTGCTCTTCCCTTCTCTGCTTCCTCTCCCTTCCTTCCCCCCTCCTCCTTCCCTGCCTAGTC